GGAGGTGGGGTGAGGGTGGCCGGTGATGGCGATCCCCTTCGTGTAAAAGCCAATTTATAAAATAAAGAAATGATGGAAATAATTGTGATGATGATGATTGGTGATAATGCTAATGATGGGGTGGCGTTTGGGTCGGGGTAATGGGACTCAGTGTTTAAAAGCGATGGTTGTAAAAAGGTAAGGTAAATGATGGAAATGATGATGGATTATGATGATTTCGATGATGTATGATGGGTCGAGGGGGGTAATGGGACTGTGTAAATGGCAAACTGCCTTAAAAGGTTAAAATGATGAAAGAATGATTGATCCATGATTGATGATATTAATAATGCTTTAATGGTGATCAATGGTAATAGGTAATGATAAATAACGATGATGCAATAACAACGATTATAATAAGTAACCATGTAAATAATCAGCTAAACCACAACAACAAAGAATAAAACAATTACAGAAATAACAACGAAACAATATCAACAATAATGAAACTCAAATGATAAGAATAATGCATAATAATCGTAATAACAAACAATGATGACAAATTCCTCAACAACTAAAGAAAGTCAAACATTATTAATAAATACATTCACACGACTAAGAATTTCTCGTTTGTGTATTTTTTGCTTTTTTTGACAGATTTTTTTTTTTTTTTTTTTGTTTGTTTTCTCGTTCGTCAAAGGGAATGTCTTGAGTTATGGTAATGATCTATAAAAAGTTCTCTTTGTGGATATAAATTTGATTAATATATATCATGTCATTTTCTTCTCTTTTGTTTTCATGTGGATATTAAGACATTTCTCTATCATGCGCATTTTTTGTGATCCAACTTGATAGAGAAATAAATGAATACATAAATATATAAACATAAATAATCAGGTACAAAGACATGGAATATATTTTTCTTTCTTTCTCTGCCTATGTCTGTTTGTCTCTCTTTCTCTCTCCCGTTTTCTATCTCTCATTCTTTCTCTGCCTCTCTCTCTCTCCTCTCTTCTCTCTTCTCTCTCTCCTCTTTCTGCCTCTCTTCTCTCTCTTTCTCTTTCTCTCTCTCTTCTCTTCGTTACTCACTCTTTTCCAAATCATCCCGATATATTCATACTCCAACACTTACAAAATCAGACTAAAATATTCCAATAAAACCCAGACAAGAAGACATCTACCCCCCCCTCCCCCCTCCAAAAGAAATAAAAAGAAAAAAAAGTTATTTACAATTCTCTTTTAATAATGATTATTTAAATGGATCTCTATAGTTAAACTAAGCTTTATATACGAAGTGGAAAATTATATCTAGCTGCTTTTTTTACAATTAATTACATGAATTCGTCGCTGCACATGCGAAGTCAAGGCGATATCTCCTTTGCAATAATTAAAAAAGAAACGAAAACTCACGATAAAGAAGAATAGAGATAAGAATCAGAGAAAAGTGAAAGCTAGAAGAGAGAGGAGGAGAGAGAGAGAGAGAGAGAGAGAGAGAGAGAGAGAGAGAGGAGGAGAGAGAGAGAGAGAGAGAGGAGAGAGAGAGAGAGAGGAAGAGAGAGAGAGAGAGAGAGAAAGAAGAGAGAAAGAGAAGGGAGGTGAGGAGGAGAGAGAGAGAGAGAGAGAGAGAGAAAAGGAAAGAGAGAGAGAGAGAGAAAGAGAGGAAAGAGAAGAGGAGAGAGGAGAAAGAGAGAGAGAGAGAGAGAGAGAGAGAGAGAGAGAGAGAGAGAGAGAGAGAGAGAGAGAGAGAGAGGAAGAGAGAGAATGAGAGAGAGAGAAAGAGAGAGAGAGAGAGAGAGAGAAGAGAGAGAGAGAGAAGAAGAGAGAAGAAAAGAGAAAGAGATGAAGAGAGAGAAAGAGAAAGAGAAAGAGGAGAGAGAAGAGAGAGGAAAGAAAGAGCGAGAGCAAGCGAGAGAGAAGAGCGAGAGAAGAGAGAGAGAGAAGAGAGAAGAAAGAGAGAGCGAGAGCGAGAGCAGAGAGATAGATAGATAAGAAGATAGAGAAGAAGAGAGAGAGAGAGAGAGAGCGAGAGAGGGAAGAATCGCAGAGAGGTAGGTAACAGGAGATATCAGTCACCAGAATTCCGCATCAACGCCGCCAGCTCATCGCGCATCTGGCACCTTCCCTGAGAAATTCCCTGGAGAGGAAAAAAAGTCGTTTTTCTTTTCTTATTACTTATGTTCTTATTACTTACATTATATTACTACTTTCATATTACTTATATTATATTTTCACTTTCTCATTACTTATTTCAATTTATCGCTTTATTATTATATTATATTACTACTTTATTTATTACTTTATTATATCATTACTTTCTTATTACTTATATAATATTATCATTTTCCTATTACGTATATTATATCATTGCTTTATTATTACTTATATTATATTAAATTATCGTTTTTTTCCCCTTTTACTATTTCCTTATATTTCCTTATTCTCGCCACTGCTAAATCACTCTCTCACTATGTCTATTTTGCGGTTCTAGTAATGGGCGGCCGCAAAATAAGGGACCTTAGGCTGCTAGTTGCTTCGTGACTGTCAGCGAGATGCAACGTTGCGGTGCAGTTGGCAGAAATATTGCAAAAAAAGTTAGCGAGACTATGAGCCGGCGAAACAGTAACCCTAAACGTAATTTTTGGGAGCGTATCGTCCCTTCCTGTCTTTTGTTTTCATTCGCTGTAATGAATTCTTTGTCTTGTCTGTCTTTGTCTGTTTGTCTGTCTCTGTCTGTTTGTCTGTCTCTGTCTGTTTGTCTGTCTTGTCTGTTTGTCTGTCTGTTTGTCTGTCTCTGTCCCTGTCTGTCTGTCTGTCTCTCTCTCTCTCCCTTCCCTTCCCTCTCTCCCTTTCTCTCTCTATCTCTCTATGTTGGCTTTTATTTTATTCTATTTACTTTTATCTGTCAATTTAGCATTATGATAAGAAAAAAAATCCATTCAATTATCCCTTTATGCGAGACACATTTTCAGAGAAAAAAATCTACGGACTTTGCAACCCACGTTTAACTACCTCGACGAAAAACAAAACAAATAATCTTGTAATTGAAGTTTACACACCTTCAGAGGTACACTAAAATATACAGTTTTCCCCAGAGCAATTTTTTTTTACAAATTACTTCAAAAGTACAACAAAAAATATACATACAGTATCCCCCAAATTAACTTTCACGTTTCGCAACAAACCTTAAAAAAAACAGAAAAAACACTGAACTAACCGCCAGAATTAACTCTTAAACCACACAAAAAACACCTTAAACCACAGAAAAAAACT